GGGGGCGGCCCCAGAAAGGTGCCTGCCTCGGAGGGGGGGTGCCCGGCTCTAGGCCCGGCCTTCTGCTTCAGCCGCCGGGCGCTTAACTCTTTAATGCCTCTCCCCTCCTCCAGGACCGCGCCTGGATGGCAGTTAGCAGGCACGGGTCGCGATTAGCAGCCAGGTCTCCCCGTGGGGAACGCGGCCCCTCGGGCCGGCGCGGTGCGAGCTGAAGGAGGTGGTGGGTCTCACCCCAAATGGCCTCTCTGCCCAATTCTGGCTCTGCCTCCCCTTCCCGGGGTGAGCCGAGGCTCCATCTTGGATCTCGAGGAGAGGAGCGACCCAAAAAGCAAAGTCGATGAGGAGCTTTTCCGAGTGTCTCCCTCGGATTTTTCCCAAAGCCTCCGTTCCTGCCCCTGGCGCTGGCAATGCTCCTTGCGAGCGGCCTCGCTGGCTGAGCTGTGGGTGTCGCGGACGAGGTTTTCAGTCTGCAAGTATGTAGGGGAATAATGTGTATTTCGGGGATCGGGACACATAAAAGGCAAAAGTAAGCAATACATTTTGCATGAAGGCAGGAAAAAAAGGCTTTCTATACGAAGGCAGGTGTCTCGGACTTTCCTTTCTTGGAGGGAAGCGTGGGGCAGGCTGGGCCCGGGCCATGTCCCTGTGTGATTTTGGGAGGAACGGCGCAGGGAATCGGCCTGCGCAGCCGCTTGAAGCTTTTAGAATCTAGTTCTGCTCTTACAAAAAGACAAAGAGGTTTTTTTCTGGGCTGGCAAACCCCAAAATCACCCCCCCCACACACGTTGGTTATGATTTTAGTGAGTGGGGGTTAATTGTGCTGAACGTTTTCCGTCTGGAGGGCTGGCGTTGGAAGTGGCCTGGCTGTTCCTGAACGGAAAAGGGGACGGGGAGCTGTAAAATGGGCCAAATCCTGGGATTTGGGCGGGGAGGAGGGGGACAGATCCACCTCTCGCCCTCTGTCTGTCCCAGTACAACCCTGCTGTAGATTTGGGGGACAATGGGGGGCAGAAACCCCCTTTGGAGAGACCCAGGGGAGCTGTGAACGAGGCTGGTGACATTGGTGCCACACACCGGGGAGGGAGCCCCCCGGTGTCACCCCTGGCGTGGCACCGGGTGCCCCCAGCCCCTCTGGGACTCTCCCCGTCCCCGACGGGCACCGTGCCGGGGAGGCAGCACCAGGCCGTGCCAGGAGGTGCAGGCAGGGCCGGCAGCCAGCGAGAGGCCCGGGCTTGCCCCGGTCTGCGGCGGCAGTGGCAATGGCTGACACGGTGCCAGGGAGCAGGAGGGGCCCTGGCACAGCCCCTCGCCTCCTCTGGAGGGTTTTGTCCTTGTCCCCTCCCTGCCTGGGAGATGTTGGGATCTTGGGGGGGGGACGACAGGAGGGAGGCAGAGCCACGCTCCCTGGGATGCTCCCTGGCCACAGTCGTTGCTCCTCGCACCCCCTCGGCACACCCTGAGCTCGCAGCGAGCGGTCGGGTGCGCCCCCGGTGCCGGCCCACCCCTACAAGCCGGAGGACCCCCCCTTTTTTGTGGGGTTTTCTGTGTTGGGAGCATGGGCTTGGCAGCTACGGCACTGGCAACTCAAGGACACAGCAGTCCCCAAGTAGCGCAGCGCGGGTTTGACTCCCTGCCTGTCCCATTTCCCGGGTTTTTGTGCCTTCGGAGGGTCGGAACCCGACAACAGCCCCCCTCGGTCACGGCTGGGTGGGTTGTGGTCGTGGGCCCCCCCCCCCGCCTGCTCCTGCCCTTCCCTTGCCTGCTGTCGCCCGAAGCAGAGCGCAAGGTGGAGGCACGGAGGGGTTTGCAGCAGCAGGGCAACCGCCTGGCGTGCCGATAACCTCCCGGGGTGTTGAACTTATCTTTCAGCCCATAGCCGTCCCGGCACAGCTGAGCCGCGCACACACACACACACACACACGCGTGTGCCGAGTCAGCCAGCGCCCAGCTCCGTCCCCTCGGTCACTTTACACGCAACGCATTTACCGGCAGGAGCGACGGGCGAGGTCGCTGCGTGAGATTATATTTAGGCCCTGGTAGCCCACGGGGTTGCTGTAAGGAGGCAGTCCCGCTCCCCCGGGTGCTCCGTGCGCCATGAAAACGCCGGCAGTCCCGTCCCGAGCTGCTTCGCGTTCCCCGGGCTGGAGGGACAGGCTGGGCTCAAGGTCCCGGCGGTGCCGGGGGCTCAAGGCTGCACGGAGGAGCTGGAGGATTTGGCAGCCAACCCCGCGCAGGGACAGGCTGATCCCCGAGCTGCTGGTGCTGGAGGTTTTTCTGGTTTATAGCCCCAGATTGATTTTTTTTTTTTTTCTTCTCCATGTATTTGGGTGTTTTCCAGCCCCGTTTTAGCCTCCTCCGCACCCCGGGGTGTCCGGCTGAGCATGACCAGCCGGGGACCAGCCGGGTCTGGGCACAGCCATTGCCCCGTCTGCCACCCGTGGGTCCTCCTGCCCTTCGTGGCACCCGAAAGCCTGGGTGCCGCGGACCTTTCCACACCTCTCAGGGATATTTTGGGAACATCAGATGTCCGTTTTACAACCCTGATCTTGCAGAACCGGCCGCCCGCGGGTTGGCAGACCCGGCTGGGTTTGCCCCCAGCCTCTGGGCAGGCTTTGCAGGGGGAAGACGTGCCTCAGGCTGGATTTAAACCGGTGACGTGGGGGGGTGTCTCCTTCCAGAGCAGTTTTGGGTCTGGATTTGCAGTCGGAGGGGGGGTTATCACGCCAGAACCCCGGGATAGCGCTGCCCTGGATGAAGCAGGGCGGCTGCTGGGCTGGATGGGGCAGGGAGCTGCTTGTTGGGACCGGCCTGAGCTTGAGCAAAACCTTCAGCAGCTGGGGCAGAGGTGGAGGGAAGGGAGCCCAAGGGAGCCCAACGCTGGCGACCGAGGTCTGCAAACAGCCCTTGCAACCCCAGACCCGGCCCCAACCCCAGACCCAGCTCCCAGACGTGCCTCTCCCAGCATCGGTGCAGGCAGAAGGGAGCCGTGGGCAGTGCCGTGGCCGGGGAGCCGGTGGCGTGGCTGGGATGTGCAGCCCTGCCTGGGGAGAGGCTGCCTGCCCTGCCTCCATGCTGCTGTTGGATGCCCTTGGGTGCCCTCGTGTCCCCTGGTGCTGTCCCCAGGGCACCCGAAAGCCCAGCCCGTAGCCCCGCTGTCACCTGGTGCGGTTTGCTTTGCTCCCTTTCTCTCTTCAGGCCGAAGCTGATGTGAAACATCCCCGGTACCGGCGCAGCTTTCACACCCGCTTCCCACAGCCACGGCCGCCCAGTGCCCAGCACCCAGCTCCCCAGCATCCTAGGTCCTAGAACCGCAGGTCCCAGCGCCCAGCACTCAGCTCTCCAGCACCCGAGCACCCAGCATCCCCGCACCCAGCTCCCAACACCCCAGCTCCCAGTGCCCAGCACCTAGCTCCCAGCATCCATATCCCTGCTCCCGATCTCCCAGCGTCCATCACCCAGCACCCAACTCCCCATCATCTCCCATCTCCCATCATGTCCCATCTCACATAATTGCCCATCTTCTGTCTCCAACCATCTCCCACCATCCCCCATCTCCCATCTCCCACCATCTCAGACCATCTCCCACCATCTCCCA